GCTATCTGCCATCAGGAAACTACTCTATCACCACAAACCCCTAGTCCTACGTGATTTCTGGTCCTGTGCTCTCCAGCTCCCTGTCCCTTCACCTCCTCCAATAAAGCAACCCTTCCTCCATGAACAGCCCAGCAGCATCAGAGACCTCCTGTTTTGGCTCCATGCTCGCGCCCTCCCCTTTGGTGCCCTCTCGCGCCCTCCCTTGCCCTTCAGCGTGTTGCCCCCTCTCATCTCGGCCTATCAGTTCCTGCTCCTCTGGTGTTCTTCCCCTTGTCGCTGGAGGCTGGCCGAGTTGCCACATGGAGTTTACCAGTCGGTGATGCTGCAAAAGAACTATGGGACATTCGCTACGCTGAACATCATCAGCATGACTCCACCTCAACAATCAGCGCTCTACATAAAATTTTGTCCCTGTTTTTCTTGGCTTGCAAACCTTTCCTTGTGCAATGACAGAAGCGGTCTGCTAAGTATAGTATCAACAAGCAAGTGCTTCCCGTGTTTGCTATGCCAGGTCCTACAGCCTCTTTACCATTGACCACTTTGGCTACCCTTCCATAAATCCTACCCTTCTCCGGACATGGTTGTTGGGTGACAGTTTCCGCCCACCCTGACCCCTTTTTTCCCATTCCCTTATATGCGGTGGGGCCGGATTTCCTCATGGGAGCACTAAAAGCCCCCCCCCCCCCCCAAAAAAAGGGTCGACTAAATCGTCTTAGGGTTGCGGAGATATCTTATGCGATTTTGAAACGTTTTTCATGTACCGTACGTTACATTTCAAATGTGTGCATGAGAATGGCTTATGCAACAATCCTTTCTTATTTACTTTATATATATAGCATTATTAGCTTAATGCAAACACCATTCAATATGCAACTACTCTTAATTGTTTTTATGAAAATTACATAATACCGAAGATGTAGTGCAATTAATGTCGTAACATATAATTAATGCTAACAAAAAATGTTACACTTCACACGCAACAGTAGGATTCTGTCATGAATGGGACTGCCGAGTAGCGCGGAGGGCAATGGAGAAACTGTGAACGAGTGAATGACAATAAAATGAAAGGCAATACAATACATAGCAAAACTAGGGTGATCCTGGACGTAGGCTTGGAAGGTTCGGGAAAAGTGTCGAAGGGCCTCGATGTGTCGAAGCGAGGTCCGGAAAGGCCCAGGAGGCTCGAATTGAAAGGTTTGGAACCCTGGTGATGGTTCGGGACTGTTCGAGTTGTACGCCCTGTAGCAAGCCTCAGTAGCGAATTACTAATTTCTTACACTCTCCCCCCTTCTAGATAAGCAGACAAATAAACAAAACCACACACACTCTAATTCAATCTCGTAGTAGTGAAGCCACCACTGTTGAGAATCTTGAGCTTCTTCAAAACAGCTCCATCCAACGGTCGAAACACGTCGAAACGATCGCAATCGCCGTCGAATCTTGGTCGAATGACCCAGATAACCAAACGGGCAGTAGGGATACTACCGCACCACAGCTTCCTTGTCTTCAGCGAATCCTTCGCTGATAATTACAAGTCTCGTCGTCGTGTACTGTATCCGCACAATAACACAATGTTATTCACGCTGTTGCAAGTTGGCGAGCCGAATCTGATGCATGCGCCAAACTTGTCCGTAGTTCCACAACTGTAGATAGCTCCTCGTTTAATTCCATGCGAGTCGTGACACTCGCAGAAACACGCATCCGTATTTCGCAAAGTCAACAAACTCCAGCTGTTCGTCAAATGCGAGGTCATTCGCGACACGTGCGAGAACACGCGTTGGTGTCTCACGAAAGTCAGCGAATTCCATCAGCACATGGACGAAAGCATAATCAGTCCAGTAACCGTAGTCGATGTCGCCTCAGGCGGTTGATGTAAACACACCTCCAACCTTTGCAAACACCTGCGAAATTCCCGAAAGGCCATCTCAAATCTGTCCGTCGATTCAGTCGGTCAAACAGCATCTGTCCGTCGATGCTCACGCAGCGGATGCCAAACTGTAGAGGAAAAATCCAAAAAACATCTGCTGCGCAGGTGCTCTCTCCCCCTTCCATGAAAAGAAAATCTTCTGTCGTCAATGCCGAAAATACCCTGCTTCAAGTTTCTTCAGACCCAGAAAACGGAAGTATCTTCAAACTCTGCTCTCGGGACCAGTCTCAGCACGACCCTATAACACAGGGCAGCTGCGCCACGTAGACTCTAGCTCCATCCGATACCGTAGATAAATAGTCAGCTTCTTGAATGCAGTCGATCTGCTTCATGTTTTTACCCTCTGTAGAAATTTTCGCAACTCCACCTGACCGGTTCACCGTGCAGACGTCCACCCATCGCGCGGCTACGACACGTACCCCAAAAAAACCCGGGTACAGTTCTCAGCTACGAAAAGCGCATTTTCTGCAGTTTCACCGACAAACCATGCTGGTATTTAAACCATCGCACAGCTCGGTAGGTCCCCGTGACCCCAGCTACCGCTCCAGCCAAAAACTTGAAGAATTCCCACCC